ATACAGCAACTAGAAGGATGTGCAGCTATGACATACAACTGGGGCTTCCCCAGCCCCAGTAGATAGTTGTATGTCATAGTTGCCCGTCCTTCTAGTTGCTGTATGTCATAGCTGCACATCCTTCTAGTTGCTGTATGTGGAATGCAGCCTCAGCACGGCCGGAGAAGCGGTGAGACGGTGCGCGCCCGGGATCCGAACCCGGGCCGCCAGCAGCGGAGCGCGCGCACTTAACCGCCAAGCCACGGGGCTGGCCCTCTCTCATTCCTTTCAATGTAAACTAATTTTCTAAGCAAACAAGTAAAAAAGGCTTAGATCATGGTTGGGGAGGGTGAAAAACCACCACTACGGGCTGAGAACTTACTTTTCTCATCTCTAAATTCGTTTTGTTGTTGTTGTTACTAAAACAATAGGAGGCTATTCGGATATTTTCCACATAAAACAATTTTCCTAATGTCTAGGCAATTTAGAAGTCAATCCTCAAGGCTACAAATATGGTGAAGCAGGACTCAGGAATGACTTCTCTAAGAAAAGAGAAGTGCTATTCTGAAATGAGTTTATATTACTGTGGTAGGAAATAAAAGCACAGCCGTCAGCAATAATGTTTATTTCAAAATTCTTGCTTTCTGAACAAATGGTTAATAAAACAACTTTCTAGTTCTGTCCCAGATGACACTCTAGTACCCACATCATTAGTAGCAGTATCTGCCTTCAGTGGGATCAGAAGAAATGGCATCATGCTTCAAGTGCTGCAGTCAGCTTGCTCAAGGAGTGCCTCCAGGGGGTGCTGCTCCCAGAGCACACGCCTTCAGCCCCCAGCCCAGGGAGGGCCTCTGACACTGCACCAGCAGACCACTCTCACACAGCAGTGCTCTCCAGGCTGCCACAACGCCACCACCCAGGGGGCAGATCACATGCAACACGGCTGCCCTCCCCCTTAGTGAGTTTAAGGCTCTTAACTCGGCTGGGTACCTTCTGGGTCCTCTCCTCCCCGGTCCTCTCCATCCTTCAGGCTGTGCTCACTGAGGTCTGCCACCAGACCACTGCTCTGCTTCTTCCCTTCTTCATCGCCTGATTCTTCAGATTCGACCCGCCTGTCAACTGAACCCATGCACATCAATAAGAATTCACATTCACTTTATGTGACTCTTTGAGCAACATATAACAGACTAACATCCAATTGTAAGTCAAAAAGATTTCATTCAAAAACGTTTGTTGAATTCAGTTCAACATACATAGAGTGTCTTCCACGTCTCAGGCACCATCTGAGGTGTAGAGTGGCAGGGAGAACTTGGGATGGGGGGGCAGAGCAGGGAGGCACACGGGTACAAAGGTGAGTAACATACTATTCCTGCCCTCAGGAACTTGAGAAGAATCACCAGGTGTTTTGAAAGCCCTGGGTCATCTGTGTTTAAACACACTAATGGTAACACACAGGGAAGCACCTCCTGTGCGCTTACTTTTGGCCTGGATATCCATGTGAGGGGACCATTGCACCCTTCCGCCACATACCTTCATCCATGCTCCACTATCCATTTGGCCAAGAAAACCAGCCCAGTTCACAGGCCCACGTTCTGAAAGAAATCAAGACTAACTCAAATCAGACTGTGGGCAGGGGGGAGCTCTAATAAAAAAGGAGAAGACAGCCAATAGTGCTAAGTGCCCCCACGTAAAGGTCACTGATGCTAAATGTCAGGACACAGATATACCAGTTCAAAGCTTTGAAAAGCTGGGAAATAAATATCTTTTGAATGAATAAATAAAGCAACGATTAAATGTGGCAGACTGGTAAAAATTCTTTGGCAAGACAAATAATTTTCCTTTTTCCTAACTTTTTTCATGACCTCTTTTGGAAGTGTGTCTGGAAGACCTGAAGCACTAACAAATTACTCGGAATTATCAACCATAGTGAAAGCATTCTCTTTCCTGACTACAGCATATCTACAAAGGGGTCTGCCCTTTGAGGGAAAAGAAGTTCTATTTCATCTTTTATCTCCTGCTGGGCCTAGCTAGGTGGCAGTTAGGAAAGGATTGCTGGATAAAACAAGTCCCTATGAAATCCATCTCCAAAACTGCCATATCCATTCCTTCTTCTCTGCCCCTGCAACTGCCTTGGCTCAACTACTCATTACCTGTGGCCTGGGCTCCTGCCCGGCCTCCTAACTGGTCTCTCTGGGGCTTGTCTGGCTCTGTCTAACCTAGTCTCCATTACTAGAGAATCTGATCTGGTTCTAAAATCCAAATCTGGGGCCGGCCCCGTGGTTTAGTGGTTAAGTGTGTGCTTTCCGCTACTGGCGGCCCGGGTTCGGATCCCGGGCGCACACCGCCACACGGCTTCTCCGGCCATGCTGAGGCCACGTCCCACATACAGCAACTAGAAGGATGTGCAACTATGACATACAACTATCTACTGGGGCTTTGGGGAAAAAAGGAGGAGGATTGGCAATAGATGTTAGCTCAGAGCCGGTCTTCCTCAGCAAAAGGAGGAGGATTGGCATGGATGTTAGCTCAGGGCTGATCTGCCTCCCCAAAAAAAAAAACAAAAAACAAAAAACAAAGATGCCCCCTCCCCCATCCAGAAAAAAAAAAAAATCCAAATCTGATTTTTGACTCTGAAAATTTCTGGAACGTCAGTGGCATTTCCAGAGTTTGCATCTTGCCCCTAGAGACAACGCTGCGGCAGGCTATTTCCTTTTCCAAGCCTCAGTCTCCTCATCTGTAGAAGGGAACTAGTGTAGTACCTATATCTCAGAGTCGCTGCCAGGAGTAAATTAAAAAAGGCACAAAAGCAGTAGACATTTAATAGATTAATTGTTACCAGGCACAAGGCACTCTGTGGTAAAGGCTAACAGAGAGCAAGTTCTACTGGACAATGGTTTGGTGCTGCTGAGCCCTGGGTGGGAGGGCTTAGCCAAGGAATGGCAGCCAAAGTGAAACCTGGAACTATCCTGAGGGCAGCAGAGGGTCTGGGGTATGGGGCAGCAGATCATCATATAAGGAGACTTTGGGGCACTGGGGACAATGGGCTGGCTCAAGGCATTGGCAGTGGGAACGGAAGAGGCACTGAAGATTTGGCTATAGTAAGGAAGCAGAGGTGTCAGAGCTTGTTGATTGATTGGATGGGTGGGAATGGGAGAGGGAGAAACGCCTGGGTTTTGTATTTGCCATTTACCAAGACATGGAAACAGCTGAAGAGGAAGCAGGAGTAGATGGGGGGAAGGAGAAGGGGGACAGGAAGAGGTGCTTCCTTGCTTAAAAAGATCCAAGGGTCTTGAAGTCCAAGACCCTTCACATACTTCTCTCCACCAAGACCCTCCATGACCATCCCTCGCCAGCCTCACTGGCCCTCTTTGCCCTCATCCAATACGGCTGTCACTCTTGGTCAAACCCTTCTCCAAACAGGCCACATTCCTTCACACCCCTTTGCCTTTGTCTTTGTGGTTTCCTTTGCCTGCAGTGATCTTTGATCTTTTCTTCACCCTATCCCCAGCCTGGCTGATTTGTAGTTATCCTTCAAAGTTCAGCTCGGAGCTGCCTTTGGTTGTACAGCTACCACTCCCAAACACACCAGCTCTTCCTTAGGACCCCCTGCCCAATCCGTTCTGCTTCCTTCTTCCCTAGCACTTTACACATCAGACAGTGGCTTCTCTTCTGGAGCTCAGTAACCCCCATGAAACCAAAGGAGCCAAAAGCACATAAGCACTCAAAGACATGACTGACTCTCCAACGGGGACAAGAGTGTGTATGTGTGCATATATAATTACATGCACACATAACATGCATATAATTTTTTTCAACAAAGCCAAAGAGTTGATTTTAATCTTTTGGGAACTATGGTATCTTTGAAAACAGGCACCCGCTATTCTATAACTCAATCTCTCGGCTCTTTGTCACCCCTTCCCCAGAACCCATTCAACTGGAGTGGACCCTTCTCTACCCCGCCACGTTCACCAACGAGCCGACTCGGGCGGGTCCCATTGCGCCCTGCGCCTCAATGTCCTCGTTAGGTACCCGAAGACCGACCCGCGGGGTCAGGCTCAGAGGTTCGGTGCGAGGCTCCTACCCGTTGGTGGACGCCCGGGCTGCGGGACCACCGCGCCGCCTGTCCCAGCCCCTGGCCCGGCTCGTGCCGCTGCTCTCCCCTTCCTCTGCCCTGTATCCAGCGCCTCCCGGGTCGCCTGCGCCTTCCCGGCCACTGCCCCCTCCGCCCGGGGTTCCCGAGTCCGGGGCCGCTCCCGCCCCCGCCCCGCCGAGCCGGCAGGCAGCTGTCAGGGGGCCGCGTGGCGGGGCCCGGCCGTGGCAGGAGACGGCACGCCCCGTTTCTCTCAGGCAAGCCCGGTGCGGACCGCCGCTCCCAGCCCGCTGGGCCCTTCGGCCACCGCCCCGCGGGGCCGCTCACCTTCCATCATCTCCTGCGACTGTTGCTGGCCCGCGCCGCGCTCCGCCGCCATGTTGGCTGCTCTTCCCTTTCCGGAATCTTGTCGCCTCAGGACCCTCAGCCAATCAGAGCTCCCAGCTCCCAGCTGACCCAGCCAATGGAATCCCAGCACAGTGGGGGGCGGGGGGGGGACTGACCCCTCCCCCCGACGCGCCTGCGCGGCCCCAGCGCCTCCTGGGAGTTGTAGTCCGTGCGTGAGGCCGCGCCCGCCCTCAGCCCCGCGGGCCGCCGGCCTCACCTCCCCCGGGGCAGGTAATTTGAGAGCGCCCGGAGGCATCTGGAGGCGAGGAGCGGGGAGGAAGGCGGGGCAGGCGGGGCCGCACGCATGGAGCCGAACCTGCAGGCGAGAGGAGAGGAATGTGGGAGATGTTCTGGACTCTAGAGGGGCACGGCCGGGTGGTCTCTGGGTGGAGCTGCCAAATGCGGGTCTCCCGGCGGCGTCTGTACAATGGGCCGGCCTCGTCGGGGCATCGCCGCGCGGATCCAGTCCGAGCGCAGGGGCTGCCTCCGTTAACGCTCAGCGCAGGGCGCCCGCGCTCGTGCCGGGGCGGGAGCCGAGGCTGGGGGGGTGGGGAACTGGGGGTAAGAGGCAGAGGGCCAGCTCCAGCTTGCAGGTGCCGAGAGAGCCGGTCGGGACTCGGGACGCCGACCGAGCCCACTGCGGGCGCCGCAGCCTCCGTCGGCCCTCGGCTTTGCGGGCGAGCGTGGCCCGTGAGGGAGCCGCCCCGCGCCCCCCGCCTCCAGGGCGAGGCCGCCGAAAGGCGAGCTCCGCGTTGCTCACCCTTCTCGATCCCGAGTCTGGAGGAAACCGGGTCCGCCGGACGGGGATGGCTGAGGCGCCGTCTCTTTTGGCTCCTCCGAGGCACCGTAGGGGGAGTCCGGTGCGTCCCTAGCAACCGTTAGCGCGGGCTTCTCCGCTCGGGCTCGCTGAGTCCCGCCCACAGGCACCAGTGGTTGGCTCTTGGAGCCTGTCAATCGGCGCGAGTCGCTCTGCGATTGGTCGGTGGGGTAGAGGCGTGGATCGGCTCCCGCCCGGCGGGGAGAAGCGAGCGTGGCCGGCTGACTGTCGCCTCTCCAGGTGAGATGTCTGCCCCGGAAAGGCGGCCCGGGCTCCGCGGGGTCCCTCCGCCTCGACCTGGCGCGGCCCTCGGGCGAGCCCAACCCGAGCGCTGTGGCCCCGCGCTGCCCGCGTCCACTCCTGCGGGGTGTTGGCCCGCGCCGCACCCTGGGGGCCCCAGGACAGGGCCGCGCCTCCTGCCCCGACGCCCCGCCTCGGCCTAACCCACCCGCACTGGGTCCTCTCGCCTAGAGTTGACTGTGCGTTTTGTTTACTTAGTAGTGCCCGTCCTCCTAGGAGGTGAGCTCCAGGACGTGCCTGGCATCCAAGAGCTTGTCAGTAGACAGTAGGTGAATGCATGAGCTGCAGTGTGCACTTCCACTGCTTCTCGACATCCCCGCTTGGATGTCCCATGCATACCTGGGCTTTATCCTTAATCTTCTTTTTACCAGTTTTCCTTTTCCCAGAGAATGGCCTGAGCTAAAAACGTGGGATGCGATCTTAACGCCTCTCCCCGCCTTACCTTCCACATCTCATCACCCAGTACATCTATGTTAATACGATGTCGAATTTTCTCTTCTGGGTTGTCCTCTCCATCTTTCTGCCTTTGCTTTAATTTAAGGCCTCATAATTTCTTGCCTGGATTATTGTAACCTTCCCCCCCCCCCGCCCCCCCCCTTGCCCCTAGAGTGGTCTTGCAAAGAGCATATCTGGTCACGTTACTCCCAAGCATAGACCACTTTAAAGTCAATCTTTGGGATAAAACCCAGACTGCTTGGGCAGGCATACAAGGCCCTGGGAGTTCCACTCGGACTCTCCAGGCCCATCTCCGTCTGCTCTCCTGTGTACTGACTCCTCCCCAAGGGCACTGTGGGAGTCTTTGCCCTAAAATGCCTCTGCCTGGAAGGCTTCTTCACTCCGCTTTGCCTGGCTCAGCTCTACTGGTGCCTCCTCCAGGAAGCCTTGGGTGACCTTTGGGATCTGGGAGGGGCCCTTTGCTTACAGCCTCCATCACATCATCCTGGGTATTCTTTAGGATGCTTTGATGCAAGAAACAGATGCAGTCTCAGAATAGCTCTGAGGGTGAGTAAAGAGCCCCCAAACCTGAAATCCAGAGGAAGGCAGGTTTCATCCAGTGGCTCAAAATGACATCCTTGCCATTTTCTGCTCTGCTGTCCACTTTGTTGGCTTCATCCTGGCTGGTTCTGCTTCTGGTTGCACAGCAGCAGTGGGAGCGAGTGGAGCTATGTGTTTCCTAGCTTGTGTTCTAGTGGGAGAAAGATGGTTGCTTCCAGATCTCACCCCTAAGAGCAAGGAGTACCTTCCCAGAAGCTCCTTTGCTTGTTTAAAAAACTTTCCCTACTCAGTCTTACAGAAAGTCTTTCTAATTTTCTTCTAAAAGTTGAGTGTTTTGACTTTCACAGATGGTGTGTTGATAGCTCTGTTTTCATTGTTTCCCATCTGGACGATGAGTTGTCCCAGCACCGTCATGTGCATATGATTAGCCCATATTTCTCCAGTGATAAGGAATACTCCCTCAGTCATATATCAAGTGTTCATACATGCACAGGTCTTTGGCTGGGCTCCCATTTGTTCCTTTGATCAATTCGGTTATTCCTGCCCAGACACACCACCACAGTAACTATGGTTTCATGCAGAGTTTTCACATCTGGTAGGCTGAGTGCCCCTACAGGGGGCCTGGATCTGTGGATTTATTTCTTTGTTACTGAAGGTCGTTCACTCTTATCTCTTCAAATGTTTCTTCCTCTCTATTCTTTCTGCAATTAGATGTTAGATTGTCTCAGTCTTTATGTCTTAACTTCTCTCATATTTTTATGTTCGTGTTTCTCTGTTGCATTCTGGATTATTCATTCAAATATACCTTCCAATTCACTAATCTTTTTTTTTTTTTTTAATAATTTTATTTATTTACTTTTCCCCCCCAAAGCCCCAGTAGATAGTTGTATGTCATAGCTGCACATCCTTCTAGTTGCTGTATGTGGGACTCGGCCTCAGCATGGCCGGAGAAGCGGTGCGTCGATGCGCGCCTGGGATCCAAACCCGGGCCGCCAGCAGCGGAGCGCGCGCACTTAACCGCTAAGCCACGGGACCGGCCCTAATTCACTAATCTTCTTTTCAGCTGTGACTACCTGCATGTTTTACCTGTCCATTGACATTAAAAATTAACTTTATTGGGCCGGCCCCGTGGCTTAGCGGTTAAGTGCGCGCGCTCCGCTGCTGGCGGCCCGGGTTTGGATCCCAGGCGCGCATCGACGCACCGCTTCTCCGGCCATGCTGAGGCCGAGTCCCACATACAGCAACTAGAAGGATGTGCAGCTATGACATACAACTATCTACTGGGGCTTTGGGGGGGAAATAATTAAATAAATAAAATCTTTAAAAAAAAATTAACTTTTTTGAGATATAATTTACAGGCAGTAAAGCGTGCCGATGTTAAGTACGTAGGTCAGTGAGGTTTGAGACATGTATACAACCCTGCAGTCACAACCACAATTGAGTCACAGAACACTTCCTAAGTCACCCTAAGAAATTCCTTTGTGCTCTTTCTTAGTCAATCCCCATGCCCTTCCCACCACCGGCCCTAGACAACCACTGCTCTGCTTTCTGTCCCTGTAGGTCAGGTTTGTCTTTTCTAGTGCTTCACATCAGACTACAGGATGTGGTCTTCTGTATCTGGCTGCTATTACAAAGCATAACGATTCTGAGCTTCATCCATGCCATTGACTGTATCACCAGTTCATTCCTTTTTATTGCTGAGCAGGATCCCTTAGTGTGGATGTCTTCAATTTGCTTACCTGTTCTCCTGTTGATGGACATTTGGACTGTTTCCAGTTTGGGGCTATTAAGAATAAAGCAGTTGTCAACATTTTTGGGGAAGTCTATGTGGACTTGTACTTTCCTTTCTTTTGGGTAGATACCTCAGAGGGCAATTACTGTGTCCCAGGGTAATTGGCAAACTGCTTTCCAAAGTGGGTGTATGTCCCATTGTGTTTTGCCACCAGTAATGAGAGTTCCAGCTGCTCCCCATCCTTACCAACACTTCACATTTCCATTCTTTTTAATTTTAGCCACCCTACTGGTTGTGTAATGATAGCTCATTGTGAGTTTAATTTGTGTTTCCCTGATGACTAATGATGATGGACATTTTCTCGTGTGCTTCTTTGCGATTTGTTGGTCTTCTTTGTTGAAGTGTCTGTTCAAAACCTTTACCCTCCACCCCCTTTTAAAAAAGTCAGGTTGTAAGTCTTCTTATGAATCCTTCGGATTTTCTCTGTTTATGGTCATGTCTTCTGTGAATCGAGGCAGCTTTATGCTCTCCTTCCCAGGGTATATGCCTTTATTTCTTTTTCTTGCCTTTGTGCACTGGTGGGGACCTCCAGGACAGTGCTGAATAGAAGAGGCTCTATGGACTTCCTTGCCCTGCTCCTGACCTCAGAAGGAAGTCTTCAGTCTCAGCATCAGGTCAGGTGTGTGGCCAGCTGTATGTTTCTCATACGTGCTCTTTATCAGGTGGAGGAAGTTCTCAATTCCTAATTGCTGAGAGTTTTTCTCATGAAGGGTGTTGGATTTTGTCAAATGCTTTTTCTGCATCAATTAGTATGATTGTGTGATTTTTCTTCTTTGGCCTGTTGATATGGTAGATTACATTGATTGATTTTCAAATCTTAAACCAGCCTTTCATTCCTGTGACAAGCCCTACTTCGTTGTAGTATATTATTCTTTTTACATTTTACTTGATGGATTTGCTAATATTTTGTTGAGGATTTTTACATCTATGTTCATGAGAGTTATTGGTCTGTAGTTTCTTTTTCTAGCAGTGTCTTTGTCTGGGTGGGCATATCGTCCTGGCCCCTTGAACTCCTCACTTCATCAAGGCCCCCTCGCTGTGCCTGCAGGCAGCAGTTCTGTCCTGTAGTTGTGCAGGATATCACCCAGGAGGAAATTGGGTGGAGGACACGTGGGGTTTTTGTGTATTTTCTTCTTGTATCTGTGTGAGAATCCACAAGTATCCAAAAATAAAAAGTTAAAAAGAAAAATATAAACATCTGGTGCCAGCCCATCTCCAGATTCTCAGCCTTGGCCTTGTCTTGCTATTTTGTTGGAAGCTCTGTGGGTGATTCTGGGTGCAGCCGATCAGACCCATGGGATTTGGGGAAAGCTGGGGCCGGGGGGGCAAGCAGACCCTCACACGTTGGTGGGTTCTCATGCCATTGATAATGTTTTTCTTGACCTGGGAGCGTTTTCAGTTCATGTGGACCTGCAGCCTCCGTCCTTTCTACTCTGTTTTATTCCTGTTTTTCCTTCTCTCTTTCC